AAAAAAAAAAACGAATAACAAATTACTAGTTTTAATTGATGAAACTAAGAAAAGCGTAATTTATTTTAATCGAAATGAATTTAATTTCCGTTCTAACAAACAAAAGAACTTTTTTAAATAAACAAAAAAGAATGTATTTGAATAGTGCTTCAAAAAAAATTTTTTTTAAATAAACAAAAAAAAAATGTGTTTGAATAGTGCTTCTTTTTGACCTATTGAAAGACAATCGAAAGACTGAAACAGTTTGTAATTTGATATCTTTTAAATTGCTAATACTATTGGAAAGAATAATACTTTCTGTTAAATTCCAATTTCCGGCTTAATACGCAAAATTTTCACTTATTTTAAAGATAATATATCGGTTAATTTTGTGCTCAAATTACTTTTCTTCTTAAATGCAACGTTAGCATTTCAAAGAAATATCAGTTTTTTACAGGCAAATTTAAACATTAAGAGGAGATTTTATATTTGAGGTTAAATTTAAAATTTTAAATTTAAAACTTCGAAATTACAATTTTGATCTGAAATTTTATCGAAAAACATTATCTTACCAAACATGTAGAAGTTCAATAGGAGTTTCTCAAAGGAAAACTCATAAGAAATTCGACATCTATGATTAACTATAACCATGAATATTTTGCGGTACACGTGGTGGAGTTAATTGAGTAAAACGCAAAAATGTTCCGCTATTATTCGAGAGATCACCAATATCAAAACAAATTCGATTGTTTGAATCCAAAAAGACTGAAAAGTAGAGAGACAGAGAAATTAGATGGTTCATTTCTGCAGTAAATTCAAAAAATTTTTGAATTTTTCAGCAAAATCTTATCAAATAATACTCAGATAATTCAATCACATATTTTGCTTGTTTAGATTCAATTAAATTCAATCATTATTTTGGATATCACCGTAAGTGTTCCATGGCTATATTAGATTTATTGATTCCCTGAATCAAATGACCTCGTAGGATACGGTCACACGGAATATGAAATTTGTCAAAAATCATTTACGTTTTGTTGGTAACGGTTATGAGTGTAATACGGTTAGCTTATTTTATCAGTATATATTAAAGTTAGAATTTAATAACAATCAAGTATATGGAAAAGAACCTGATGGTGAATGATTACTTTCCATCAATGTATTTAATTCTGTTGGTTTAGCAGCTTGTGAACTTTCCTCGCTACTTTTCATCTTTGAATTCTTTCGTTTCCTTCTATATCGATAATAGCCAGATATTGTGCAAGTAATCAATAACATTGTTAAGCCTGCTAGAAGACTTAGAAAAAGGCAAAGTAAAACCTTTTCTTTGTTATCTGAAATAAAACTTTCAAAATTAAAATCACTAGGTAAAATTGAAAATTTTTAGATACAAAA